ATGAAGAAGAAGAAGAAGGCCCTCACGATTTATACTTGGGATACGTCCATGACCAAGTATAATTTAATGGCGCCCATAGCGATCCGCACCCTCTTCCACGTGATGGTGTGGAGGGTTCCATCACGAAGATAGCTGTCGGCTTCTTTCCACGCCGACGGTTATAATTTGATGGTCACATTCACACACACTTGAATTCAATAATAATGTCATCGACAATCACAACACTTTTATATGTGATGTTTATATATTTATATATATATATATATAGGTGTGTGATGTTTTATATATGGTGATCTTACACATGCGTTTGTTTGTTTGGTACATTTCTAGACCGTTGCTCAGGACTTCGGCCACATCTCGAACCTCGTCTCGCAGCTCGTCGAGGTCATCAGGAAGGAGGACCGCGTCAAGATCAGGAGAGTCGGCGTTGCCACCCTCAGGGTACTCAAGCCCCCTTCCAAACCAACCCCACACCCGCCCGCATCGCCACTGGTGGGTGGCTCCTTGGTCTCACCCAACGTCCGCGCGCGCGGCCGTCAACAACAGAACATTCTGAGCAAGGGCGAGAACAACGAACAGATGATCAAGGCCGGCATGGTCAAGCTCGCTGCTGGTCTCACGCAGAAGGTAAGCCCTCTCTCTCTCTCTTTCTCTCTCTTCATCGCAAGGCCTTAGCGTTCTAATTTTTCCTTCTTTTTCTTCGGCTCTCGCCTCATCGACCACTCGCAGAAATGGAAGGACGAGGACATTGAGCAGGATCTCGCGGTGCTGAACGAGGTGCTCGAGAAGGACGTGAACGTGCTCAAGTACGTCAACCCACTACACACACTCTCTCTCTCTCGCTCGCTCGTTCAATGTGCGCGCAACGGTTGGAGCTCAATAGCCTAACGTTTCCGTGTTTCTCTCTGTGGTTCTCTTCTTTCCACCCCGCAGCTCGTTCGAGCTGTACAGGGAGGAGGTCATGTCGGGCAACCTCGTTTGGTCTCTGGTCCACCGCTCGGAGAAGTTCTGGAGGGAGAACGTGGGCAGATTCGAGGAGAACAACTTCAAGGTTTTGGGGTACGCCGATCTACACAAACAACGTTTTCTTTACATATTTGTATTCGCGAATATATACGTTTATATTTTCATATGTACATATAAATATCACTGGGTGCATGTCACGCTCGCTGACCGCACACCGCGTGTAGTGTATTGCTTGAGTTGATCAGGTCGTCGAACAACCCGCAAGTGTTGGCCATCGCCTGCTACGACTTGGGCGAGTTCGTGCGCTTCCACCCTCGCGGCAGAAAGTACGCACCACCACCACCATCGCCACACACACACCACACACCACACACCACACACCACACACCACACACCACACACCACACACCACACACCACACACCACACACCACACACCACACACCACACACCACACACCACACACCACACACCACACACACACACCACACACACACACGTTCAAGTTCAGAGACTAACGCGGCCGCGTCTGTGTGCTACAACAACGACAACAGAGTGCTTTCTAAGATGGACGGTAAGGTGGATATCATGAACCTCATGACCAACAACCCCGACGCCGAGGTGCAGAAGCACGCCCTGCTCTGCGTGCAGAAGATGATGGTACGCCCGCCCGCACCTCTCCACCCCACTCAGCCCACCGCGTGCGCACGCGCGCGAGAGGGAGAGCAATCAGATGATGTGAAAAACAAGGTCCGACGACTGAGGCAGCTTCAAACAAGGCTTTTGAATTTGAAGCCTGCTCTTGAGCGATTCCATTCTACGCCTCTGATTACGATTGCACTCTCGCGAATCTGCGCCGCACACGCCGCACGCACGCACCGACACACGCGATGGGCCAACGCTGACCGCGTTTTCGTTTTCTTCATTCGCTGGTGCACAGGTCCACAACTGGGAGTATCTCTCGAACGCGAACTAAAAGGAGTGATTGAGAGTGACTGGCAGTGCGCACTCGAGTGGCACACAAGACACGATACGACACACACGACCTACACACAAACATCGAGAAGGAGGGAACACGCTGTTGACGCCTATTTATGAAAAACGGATCATGATGAAGTAACACCTTTGTGCCATACCACACCCCATCTTGTCGCCTCTGTTCATGGAGCAGGTGAAGAGAAGAAGGTGAAGAGAAGAAGAAGTGAAGGGAGGTTGTCGACTGTGCGAAAAGATGATGTGTCGGGTTGGTGTTGTACAAGAAGTGGACATGGACGCGCCGCCGGCATCAGTAGCTTTTCGTGAAGTGTGGGCGGAGCTGGCGGCGCTGGGCCGGGTCCTGCCGCCGAAGCCCTACGCTCGAGATGGTCGTTGGGGCTTCTACCTTGAGGGTGGGCAGAGCAAGGAGGCGGCCCTCAAGGCGTGCCCGCGCGCCAAAGCGTTCGACCCCAAGGCAGGCGCCATGTGGTTCGAGACACAGCAGTCGGCCAACGCCAAGGGCTGGGACTGGAGTGGCGAGACCGAGGTCAGCGTCTTCCAGTTCTGCGCCTCATCACTCAAAGAGGTTCTCCCTTCTTCTTCATCGTTCCCCCCTCGTCACTTGTTGCTGATTGCTCCTTCCAAACACACTGTGCTTGCCTTGTTCATGCTAACGACGATGGTAGGCAATAGTGGTGGCCATTGTGGGAATGACCGTGTACAGGTGGCAAAACCCCTTCACTAGTGCGGGTGCCGACTATGAGCTTCATCCTGCAGGACTGGTACAAGAGCTGGCCCGACTTCTGGGAGAAGACGGTGGGCAGAGGCAACAACCTGCCCCGACTGAAGGGCAAGCCAGACGCAGTCGTGTTGGTCCATTCCGGCGGCACCTGCCTCACCCTGGCCCAGAAGGGCACCACCTTCTACATCGTCTTCTGCATCAGCACATAGCACCCCGGAATGTTTACACTCAAAAGAATGATGAAGAAGGTCATGTATGAAAAAGAAGAGGGTGAGCTCAGAGGGTGATCCAAGAGGTGGGGGCGTTAGAGGAGGTGGTGGGCTTGGTGGTCTGCTGCTGCTGCTGTCCGGGTGGTGGCGGCTGCCCGCCTCGCCCCGCCCCAGTGGGAGGAAAGCCGCCGGCGGGCGCCTTGGCGCGCCCCAGCTGCGGTGGCCCCGCTGGTGGCCGCTTTGCCTGAGGGAGTGTGTCCGACGCCAGGGAGGTGGCAAAGAACCGGCGGTAGTCGACCCGCTTCACGTCCACCAGCCTGTCCAGAGACACCACCACCACAGATGGTTCGGTTGGCAAGGCAGCCAACGTAAAAGAACGAAGAAGAACGAAAGGGAAGCGGGGGGGGGCACGCGTACGGCATGAGGTAATCGGCAAAGCTGTTGATCTCGTCCGCGACGCTCGGAATCAAATTCGAATCTGTCGATGACACGCGACGCGTTTAGAAAGAACGAACGATCGTCCCCTGCCACGGGCGCACATACCATCGGTGCGTGCCGAGAGCTCCACGAACCAGGTGCCGGCCACCAGGGGTTCGGCCGTGCTCAGGTCCTCCTTGTCCACAATCTGCACCCACCAGCAGGCCCCACTTGTGAGTTCGCTCGTCTCACAGCGCACGCACTCGGTGTGGTTGTCATTGTAGTGCGTGGCGGGCGTGTTACCTTCTTGACCTGGGTGACCGAGACGGTGATCTTGCGCTGCGTTTGGAAGACGAAGCCCTCTCTGATGAACTCAAACTGGACACCACCCGCGCACGCGCGTGTGAGGTGACAAGAAAGTCCTCCAAGATCGTGTCGTGTGTCGTGTGTCGTGTGTGGCGCACCTGAAATTGGTAGCCCATGAGGCGGAGGAAGTCAATGATGTTGTCGCTCACCTCCACATCGGTCACGTTCCGCACGTTGGCGGCCATCTTCTCCCGCATCAGCGGCACGCTGTTGTAATGCACGCTCCTACGTGTGCGATGTGTGCGGTGATGTGTGCGGTGGTGAGTGTGGTGTGTGCGTGTGCGTTCGTGCGTGTGCGGTCGAGGAGCATACCAAGCGCCGGAGGCCGAGGGTGCAGGTCCCTGCTTGGAGGGCACCAGGCGGCACCGCACGCGCAGCTCGTTGAACGAGGGCGCGGGGTTGGTGGGCACGCCCAGCGCGGCCGCGGCCGCAGCGCCCACGGTCTGGGTCTGGGTGGTGATCATCGAGGCCGGGGGCGGCGGCGCCTTGAACAGCAGCTCCCGGTGGTGCAGGACCACGGGCGGCGCTACGTAGGTGTCATCTTCATCCATGTGCGAAGAAGAAGATGGTGATGGTGATGTGGATAATGGGTCGCCTCGTCCGGCACCGGCGGGGCCGCACAGGCCCAGGAGGCGGTCGAGCAGGGCCTCGTGTCGATCGGCGCTGATCGCCCCCTCGAGATAACATTCGTAGATCTTGCGCCCTCCGCTCGCTGCCGCCGCCTGTGCTCCCGCCGCCCCACCGCCCGCTCCTTGACCACCGCCCACCCCACCCGGCAGCCCTGCAGCCCCATCCTTGGCTCCTTGTGCTGGCCCGCCCTGCATCCTTCTATTTTGTTTTTATTTTTATTTTTTTCCTTATGAAAATATATTTATTCTATTTTTCTTTGTTGTTTTCTCCGTATTTCCTTTTTGTTGCGCTGCTTGCGCGACGCTGGTCAGAGCTGCTCGCCGCCCTCTTCGACGATGACGTTGGTGAAGCCCCGCAGGTCTATCATATCCTTCGGCGACAGCGGAATCCGCATCGACTCTGCATTGACGGCGGCCCGATTAGTGTGTCGTGTCGTGCGTGTGCGTGCATGTGTGCGTGTGCGTGCATGTGTGTGCGTGTGTTAAAGAATGTGGTGTAGTACCTGTTTTGGAGAGATAGTTCTGCTTCTTGCTGATGTTCTGCGGCGTCGCCCGCAGGCTGTTCCACTGCTCCTTGTCCTGCTGATACATCTGCGTGATCTCCTCCAGCTCCTTCAGCACCGTCTCACAGTCGGGCCGGTTCGTCGGCTCCGGATCCCAACATTTCTCTGTTCGTGTGCGTGTGTGCGGTGGTGTGCGGTGGCGCGTGCGTGTGCGGTGGCGTGCGTGTGCGTGTGCGGTAGGGTGAGTGCCAGCTGCGAGGGAGAGTGGTACGCCGCGTCGTACCGATGAGTTGCTTGAGGGGAGCGGGCATCTGGGCGGGGATGGTGGGCCGCAGGTGGTTCTTGGCGGCCTTGATGATGACCGTGAAGCCGAGGGTGACCTGCGGGTACTCCGAGTAGGGCCGGGCATACTTGCCCGTCAACACCCGAGAGAACAGCTCCCACAGGATTATCGAAATACTGCCATTCGATGTGTGTGTGTGTCGTGTGTGTGTGTGTGTGTTGGGGACAATGATGAGAGTTAGTAGTTGGAGTACGATGAATGATGAGTTTTGCTTCCGAGAAGAAGACAGCGCTCACCTGTACACGTCGGACTTGGTGGTGAAGCGGGTGCCAAAGTAGAGCTCTGGAGCACAGTAGGCATAGGTGCCCCTATAGAGTGAGAGAGAGACGAGTGAGCCCACGTCTGTCCACCAATGCAAGGGCTCACGCCGGGAGCGAACCACAACAACAACAACAACGAAAGACATGGGAGGAACCTCATCTTCCCGAGTGTGACCGATTCGGTGGGGGTGTCCAGCCTGCTCGCACCGAAATCGCACACTTTTATCGTCCAGTCGTTGTCCAGCTGGTGTGCCGCCCCACACACGCGGGAAGGAAAGAAGAAACGGTCAAGTCTTCCTGTCTCTTCCGGGTGCTCACCCACCACACATTATAAGGGCGCAATGCGGTGGGTCCCAGCGGTGTACCAGCAGGTTGGGGCTCTTCAGGTCGCGATGGAAGACAGGCGGGTCAAACCTGCAACACACGCGCGCCGACAATTTAATTTGTTGGTCCGTGAGATGAGGCGCACACGCGACAGTGAAATGTGGTGTGTGTGTGTGTGTGTGTGTGTGTGTGTGTGTGTGTGTGTGTGTGTGTGTGTGTGTGTGTGTGTGTGTGTGTGTGTGAGTGAGAGAGAGAGAGAGGGTGTAGCTGCGCACTTGTGCAGGTAGTTGATGGCCATGGCCAGCTCCTTCGCCCACTGGAACGGGCACACGGTGGGAACAACGAAGAATTGCTGTCAGCTGAAGCCGGCAACCCACAAGGCAAAGAGCAATGAAGGCGAGGGTGAAGGTGTGAAGGAGAAGGGTATACCCGAAGCGATCGCTCCCAGGTGAGGTTGAAGGTCTCCTCGGACATGACCTCGTAGAGCGATCCCCGCATGCAGTACTCGACCACGATGCACACCTGTGGCTCCACGCAGCTCCCGTAAAAGTACAGAATGTAGGGCGACCGCGCCTTGCTGTCGCCGCGATGACACAAGTGAGTCGTCGCTCGTGTGTGTGTGCGTGTGCGCGCGCGCGCGCGCGTGTGTGTGTGCGTGTGTGTGTGCGTGTGTGTGCGCGCGTGCGCGCGTGTGCGGTCAACGTGAGAAAAAGAGGGAGGAAGGAGCACCTCATGATCTCACATTCGTTCTCAAAGTCTCTGATCTGTTTGGCGTCCATCTCCTTCCCCTCAGATCCCCCCGACTAGAGTGGGACAGAGAGGTCAGTCAGCAAGAAGTAGAAGAAGCAGTAGAAGAAGAAAACACAATGAGGAGTTGGGTGGGTGGGGCCAGTACTTACCTTCAATATCTTGATGGCGACCTCCTTCCCCTTATACCGCCCTGCCGCGCACAGAAGAGAACACCAAAAGCAAATAATAAACGTAAATAATAAACGTAAATAATAAATGCAAAAAGAACGAAGGGCTTCGCTTTCCGGAATGGGGGGAAGCGAGAAGGGTTTGGAAGGGGAGGGCCTTGGTACCCTTGTAGACCTGCGCTGACGTGCCGGTGCCCAGCCGGTCCGTGAACTCGATCTCCTTGGGATCGATGTGCCACTGTAAACGACAAGGGAGGGCCAAGGAGAAAGATGGAAGGGGAGATGAGAAGGGAGACAGATCCTACTCCTGACCTCGATCGTGGAGGAAGAAGATATGGGGAGTACGGATTCATTGTCGGGAGCGACAGGGGTGGTGTCGCCTGACACCTTCTTATTGAACATCTCGTCTAGCTGTGAATGTTTTCGATGGGTAACAATGCTGCTCTACTCGCAGATTATGTGTTCGATTAGTTTCTCGAACGCTTCGTTTTCTTCTGATCTCACAGTGAGGATAGATGGATGGATGTGATCGTCCTTGATGATGATGTTGGGAACTGCTACCGTTGATGATCAAATCAAAAATATGAAATAGGCCAGTCGACACAATTAGGGCGAACAAGAGAACGCAAAGGAGTGAGCTTCAAAACATGCAGCAAACAAACAAAGAGAGATGACAAGAGACAACACCAAGGGCGCAGTTGCCCCAAGCAACGATGGGGCAGTGAGGCCTTGTGCTCCTTTGATGTTCTCTGCAAGGTCAACTGTCAATGAACTGTCAGCATGAATGGGAATAGGGTGCACTTTACTGATCCACTGTGGCCACAGTTAGGGCCAGTTGGGGCCAATGGAGTCATCACTAACTGATTTGTAGTAGTTTTATGAGAAATAAAAGAGATAATTGTAGTGTGAGAGAGTTTATTGTGTGCTTTAATATTTATTTGTCAGTGTATGATAGGAATTGTGTTTTCTATTTTTACACATTTTTGATGATGATGAGGTTGATGATGTATGTTAAATCATGTTCAGGGTTCATTAGAAAAGTTTGCAAGGTTTTAGAAGTACTCTCTTCATTGGCTGAGGCTGGATATTGTGTGACATCAAAATGGCATGGATTGGTGTTGAGCTGTCCTGCAAGATACCTTTTTTGTTGCCATTTGAGTTAGAGTGGCATGGATGTTCATCCCACTGTTGTTGTGCATGCACCAGTTGCTGGTGAAGTTCAGGGTGCATAGTATGATCCAGTACACTGAGACTGATGTTGTGGGCAATCAGAACTCAGTAATTGGCCCTCCTCACATGTAGTTGAGACATACACCCTGGTATCCTTCTCAATTCCCATCAAAATAAATTCCACACAATCCTCAGCTGTGCCTTTTGGCTTCAATACTTTGTTTTCCCAAGCAATTACACAATAAATAAAGATTAATAATTCCCCCCCACCAATTGCCAGTACGCACTTAAATTCGGACCGCGCGGACCAACGGCCTGGACCGTGCGGCCAAAGCAAACTTGGGGGAGAAGAAATAGAAATTTTTATTTGGTCCGAGTGCTGAAAGGTGGACTCCGGAGCGCGAAGCGGCAAGCGAGAGCGCTGGGCGAAGGGTGGGCAAGAGGTGGTGGGGTGGGCAACTGGGGCTTTTTGGAAGGAGGAAAAGGGTGGCCGTTCTCAGTTGGGATGCCAGTAATTGTCGCGCCAGTTGAGAACGCGCGTGAGGAGGAACTTCTTGGCGATCCGCTCTGGACTGTCGTCGTAGGCGAAAAAGGAGAGCCCACGTGGCCCCCAGTTGAGGGGGGTGAGGGGACGCACATGCCCTGGCCTTGAGCCACCCTTGTACTGAACATACAATGGTGGCCGTTCTGCCTCAGGGATTGCCAGCAGCTCATTGAGCCGCTTGACAAGGGGGCCGCTCATGAGGGCAATCTTGCCAACTTGGTGCTGCTGCACTGGGCAGTTAGTGGTGATGTTGTTGACACAGCACTGCTGGCAAGACTTGAGTGTGCACTTCTGGTTTGCTTTTGCACAGCCACATGTGCACATGCCCATCAGGGCTTTTTTCTGTGTGGTGGTGTGGGGTTCCATGCCCACCTCCTCATCAGCCAGTGTGACAATGGGAGATGAGGGCCCTGTCTCCTCAATGAGCACGGGCAGTGCAGGAGGGGCATGGGCAGGCAGTGTGGCTGCCTGCTGCCGCCACCTGTTGGCACTCCTTTCCTGCTCCTTCTCCCTTGCTGCAGCAAGTACAGGATTTGAGACACAAAGCTGGCCTCCCACTCCTGATTGAGGTAGGTGATGGCATGGTCAGCAGCTTCTCTGTCCTGAGGCCAGATGTGGTTCTGGAGCCTGTTGTGCCAGCCCTCCAGACAGTGGTCACCAGAGGGGATTCCCTCAAGCTCTTTCCACCCAAAGGCTGCCCACACCTGTGGTGGCCAATGATTACGCCACATAGACCTAAAATATTCAGCATATGCAGGGCATGTGTGTGCCCAGTATGCCAGAAATGTTTTCAGCTGAGCTGAGAGGTCATGCAAGCTGGGAGAATTGATGATGAGGCAAAGGTTGGGTATCAGCACATCCCAGTGGTGCTTCCCTACATGCTGGGCCATCCATCTCTGGTTGGCCTACAGACCTTTACACCAGGGAATGCTTCTGCTGCTGCATTTCACAGTGCATCCTCAAAATCAGCAAAGATCACAAGTGGTGAAAGGGTGTGGCCAGTGACCTCAAGGACCAGACTGCTCATGTAGTAATCCTGAGTCTGGGAGTTACACAACAACCAGGCCACTGGGACTCCTATCTTCCCCACAAGGACCATGATGGTGGTTAGCACCATCTTCCCTTCCACCAAGTTGAATGTACCATCAACAAACAGCACACAGCCATGTGCCTGCAAGAGGCGCACAGCATCATCTGCTGCAATGATGAAGTACAGGAAGGGAATGGTCCCTGCCTCACGCACAAACTTCTTCTCACGCACAAACAGCTGCACTATATTATCCATCGTGTCACCCGTGGGGAGACGCTTACGCTTTTGATAGTGTTTTTTATTGTGCAGCTGTTTGGGTGTGGGTGCGTTCTGGTCGGGTGGTAGAGAGCGCAGGAACTCGCTCTCCACGCGGGCGACACTGGCGCAGGGATCTTGCATCTTCTCCCTGGCCAACGCAGCAACCTTTGGGGTGAGCCGTGTTGAAGGTGCTGGGGGTGGGTGTGAGTGGGTGCCACGGTACCGGATGGTCTCCAGGCCTGAAGGGGTGAGGTCCACTTCTTTCCTTGCCCGGCAGCCTGCACCGTAGTTTGCGCACCGGTAATGGACGCGCACACAGGGGGGGCTTTTGAGGGACTTCTTACCGTTCTGTCGCCACACCCATGTGTCTCCATTGGCTTGTTGGGCACGCTTGAGGGGCGGGCCATCTGCTCTGCATCATCGTCGCTTGAGGAAGAGGAGAAGTCGTTGTCCGAGTTGTCGCTCACCGTGCGAACCAGGTCCGTCCATGCTGTGGCTGTGCGAAGAGGGGGCCTCGTGCAATACGAGTCCTCCTGCTCCTCAGCACACAACGCAGCAAGGCTGGCAAGGTTGGCGGTGTGTAGCTCGTTGTTCATCTTCTTCGGTGGTGGTCGCGCGCCTGGTCGATGTTGTGAGTCTTTTTTTTTGTCTTGCCTTTTGGTCCGAATGGGAACCAAGAATTTTTTCGGACCGGCTGACACGGACCAAAGGTCCGCGGTCCGTCGGTCCGAAGTCCGAATTTAAGAGAGAACCCCAATTGCCACTTTATCAAAAAATATTTTCACAAAATTCCTTCTGAATATCAGACACAATTCCCTAAACAATAAAACAAATTTGCTAAATCAAAACAGATAACCTTCACAAAAAGAATTGCCACATTTTTCACTTACTTATACATTTCTTTAATAGATGCACTATTTTGACTTTTATTACCACAAACTCACTGTCCAGTTAAGGACTGTGACTCAAATTTCATCTGGCCAGAGTTCCAAGCTAGTGGTGCTGTCATCCTGGGCGCCAGAGTTGGTGGTCATTAGCATGCTGGGTCTTATGCAGTGATAAAGTTGTTGACATTGGGCATTGCTGGGTGCATACTGCAAGCTCAGCAGCTCCCCAAGTGGTGTCCATAGTCAGTAATGTGCCAGCACACAGGTTGCAGTAGCACATCAATCAGTCTGCCATGTGGGAGTTTTTGGCAGTGATGCTGCTGGTGACCCCCTTTGTGGTTTGACTCATGGTTGGCAAATTATGGATTGGCCCACACTACATTTTTTCTGGCTTTTTGGGAGGAATAGCGCCATTGGTCCGCGCTACATTTTTTTCTAGGGGGAATAAGAGGAATAGGAATAGGGATAGGAATAGGTTTTGCCAATTGTTCTTTTGGCGAAATAAAGCCCCAATTGGCTATATTGCTGTCGACTCAGTTTTGCATTTAGTGGGTCTGCAACAGTTTCGCTATCTCCCACAACACCGCCCACTCTCCCTCCACACGCCAGGCCAACGAACAATCCACAGCGATGGCGACCAGCCACAAGAAAAAGCTGCTGCACAACGTACAATTAGAGGAGTCAATTCAGGAGGTGTGGCAGCGCCAAGCCGACATGCAACACACCATGAGCCACACCAGTCGCAGTCCTGCCCAAGTCCCCGCCGCACCGCAGCGACCCAACCGAGCAGAGGTGCCCTACCTGGATCGCCTGGCTGGCCAGATCAAAAAGAAGATCAAGAACAAGAAGAGCCGGAAGAGCAGGCCCCAGGCTAATGTCGCCCGACCAAACACGGACGGCAAGCAGTCGCGCAAGGCAAGCTTGTGGTGTTGGGGCAAGTAAAGCGAGGGGATATGTTATAGGCAGTAGTCAAAATGCTGATTGTATCTCCACCTTGGCCTTGCTAACGTTATGGTAGATGGGAGGGCCAGGGATCGTAATTAGGGCACCGGGTTTCTTGCAGCGAAGAGAATGTGGTGATCTGCGCCACATCTAAGTCTCAAACAGCTTTGCTGTGGGACGTTCTGGATCCCTGTGTATGCAGCACCAGGGGGCCATTGGCCACGACGTGGCCGCCCAAGCCGAGTTGCATGGCGTTGCCGGCCAGTTGTGAGTCACCTAACGACGCAGCGAGGGACGAAGAGGTCAGACCGATCACTGCTAGTGTGCTTTGTCAAAGTTGTCGCGAGGACATGGATCCCGACTCCTGCGCCACCCGCAGCCGCGAATTGAGACCCGTAGGTAAAGATGCCTTAAGACATACACCCGACCCCCCCCCCACACAGGAGATCAGATGGTGCACACTATCACCGCACTTTGGGCCTAATTGCGCGTGCTGCGTAGCTTTGCCAACGTCGGCCGCAGGAAAATGTTGTAAATGCAATAAAAGAATATACCAAACCTTGAATTTCTTTTTTCTTTTTCTATTTTTTGGAAGTGATGGAGGGCCAGAAGTTCAAGGTCTCGATCAAGGTGATTTCGGATGTGATCTGCCCCTGGTGATTTTCCCTCCCTTCATTCTAGTTTGTTTTGTTAGCGCGTGTTTGTGCTGTTGCGATAGATGATAATTTTATTTTCATTTAATCGCTAAACGCACATTATCACGCGTTGGCCCCAGGTGCTTCATCGGCAAGAGGAGGCTCGAGCAGGCCATTGCCCGGCACTCGGACCAGTACGAGTTCGAGGTTCATCCTTCTTCACCACCACGCATGCACGCACACTCGCGCCAGCGGGACCCGACATCAATATTGATGTCCGCGCCTCGCCTCCTTCCGCAGGTCAAGTGGCTCCCCTTCATCCTGCAGCCCGCCCTGCCCCGCGAGGGAGTCGACCTGCGCACCCACCACCGCAAGCAGATGGGAGCGCGCGCCGACGCCATGCTCGACGACCTCAAGTCCGTCGGTAAGTGTCGAGTGTGTGTCGTGTGTGTCGTGTGTCGTGTGTGTCGTGCCATGAGCACCACGTTGACCTACATGTGCCGCCGCCGTAGGTAAGGAGGTCGGAATCAACTTTGTGGGCGACGGCACCATCAACAACACGGTCGACGCCCACCGGCTGCTCGCCTACGCCGACCGTCTGGGCAAGCAGGCCGCGGTGATCGAAGGCCTCTTCGTGGCGCACTTCGAGCAGGGCAAGAACATCGGCTCGCTCGACGTGCTCGCCGCCATCGCCAAGGACGCGGGGCTCGACGAGGAGCAAGTGCGGGTATGTTGCCAATGCCACATTCCTCCATTCACCCAAGCTCCCTCTCGCAGATTCTCACGTGTGCGTGTGTGTGCGTGTGCGTGCGTGTGCGTGCGTGTGTGGTGTGTGTGTGTGTGTGTGCGATCTGTCAAGACGTACCTGAAAACGGAGGAGGACCTCGAGTGGGTGATCACGATCGACCTCTTCTGGAAGGAGCAGCAGACCGAAGGCCTCCCCTTCTTCGTCTTCAACGACAAGTACGTTGCGCCCACCGCCATCATCACCACACGATGCCCTGCAGCCGTGTAGACGATCCCATGTTCACCCGATTGGTGCGCTTGCGCGTGTGGTGATCCACAGGATCAGCTTCGCGGGCGGCCAGGCGCCCGAGGTGTTCGGTCAAGTCTTTAACGCCCTCAAGCAGCAGGCCCATGCCGAGTCTTCCTAGCCGGCTCTGCTACGATGTTGACAGTTGAACGTTCTTCTTCCGTCGTTTCTTCATCAATAAGAGGACGGCTGCAAACCAATGCAACTTGGCTCTCTGGCTTATTTGCTGTAGGCGTCGAGCGGAATTGCTGTGGAGAACGAGGACGCGTCGAGCTTGAGCACCGAGGCCGGCAGGGTGAGCTCGCTGCAATAGCCCTGCGCGGACGACGGAGGAGGAATTGGTCAACGTTAGTGGCGCCTTATTGTTTCATGAGGGCGGGCGTGGCGGTGTTTGTTTGGCATACCAAAGCAAAGAC